ATTAAGACATGAATAATAACTGTCTACAACTCTCACTTAAATAATCAAAGTAAGTGAATCAATCTCACAGTTAAAGTCATATTGTAAACACTTCTTATAGATGAATATAAAGTAAGTTGAACTGCTCTATTTAAATAAGTGAAAAGAGTATTAAACTCAGTAGCTGCACAGTCAGCAATGATCTCTCTCTTTAAACTGCTTACAGGTGTAAAGTCTAGATAACTATCATTGAATAATGAGAAAGCTTTACTACATATAGCTGAGTTCATCATCATATGAGATGCAGTACAGTAAGATATTCTGAACTTATATACTCTGATAAAAGCTAGAATGACTGAGTTCTTTAATCAATTTCATTCTTAATCAACTATTCAGATTAGTAATTGAGTCTTCTTGAACCTCATTTAAAAAGCTTAAAAGAGCTACATGTTAAAAGGAATATTCAAGCTATCACTCTTACAGATAGACTTATTTCATATTCTTCAGAAGATATCAGATACTGTATTTCAATTGAAACTGTCAGTTAGTTAATAAATGTACTCAGTAATCTTCATTATTCATCTGAAAAAGACTGTATTAACAGAAGTGAATATGAAGCACTTATTATCAGAATCAGTACTTATTAATAATCAGTTGTAATTTGAAGTTGAAAATATCATAAGAAAGTACACAGAGAACAGTAAGACTTATCTTCAGATTAAGTAAAAGAGATATAAAGACCTGATCTGAGAGTCTCTTAAAGTTATTGTATAAGACACTCTGCATCTGATCAAGATCATCATGATCAAGAAGTCTCACAGTCAGCTGAGTAAAGAATAGAAAGAAAAGTAAAATAGAGAGAGAGTGAAAGAAAGAAAGAAAATGTATTATAATTTAATTTTAGCTATTAAATGAGAAGATAAAGAAAACAAGAAAATCATTATCTTTCACTCTTTTCATCATTTCATCTTATCTCTTCTTATTAATTATCTTTAAGCTCTTTCTGCAGCTTGACCTTTTGCTTAGTGAGATGTATATCTCAGAATACAATATTCACTAATAACTTCTTATTTATAAGATTGCTGAAATGCATCTCACTGAGTAACTTAAAGAAATGATTATTAATCACAGTATCTTTTACAGCTGAAATTATATTGATAAACTCAGCTATCTTATTCAGTTTCTTTCACACAGTCTGAATAACATTCAGATTATACTTGTCAAGATTAGACAGCTACTTCAGTATCTTCAAATCTTAAGCTCTATAATTGATTATACAGTCTTCAGAAGACAGAATCAATAACTGTTATATATTACTTATCTTAGTCTTATTAATCATCTTAGCAGAAGTTGAATGACTTATCTTCATCTTATCATCTGTCTTCACAGGTGTTGAGATGATGTCTCACTCACTGATTTAAATGTATTTTAAGAGTTTCAGTGCAATCAGACTCAATATTTTATACTTGAAAGATATAGACATTCTTTTCATTGAAACTATAGTTAAATCATTCTTCTTCTCTATATCACTGATTTTAATAATGTTATTAACATTCATCTTCTCAGCTGCAGTCTTTTCAAATTCAGACACACTCTTTTTAAACAGTAAGTTATTCATGTTTTATCTGAGTTCATATCAGTTACAGTAATTTAAAGAGCAGCAGAACTTCTTATTTTCTCACTGACAGTTAATATAAGTATTATACTCTTACTGTATCTGTTTATTATCTACAGAGATAATTATACAGTTCTTAAATTATCTCTGATTCTTCATGTAAGACTGATATAATACAGAAGCTATTTTCTCACAGATCTGCAGAATAATGATATCTTAATTAGTGAAACTCTTAGAATTAACAGTCTGTGAAGTAATTAGTTCATTATTATTTATTTATCAGTGTAACTTTCACTTAACAGATAACTGTCTTAAATCTTTAATTAATCACTGACTGAGTAAAATGAAAAATTCATAATTAATAAATAATATCTTCTCACTATATTCTGTGAGTCTTTTAATGATTAAGACAGTATCTGCAAGCCTCTTCACAGTCAGGTTCTGCATAATTAATATGCTTAAATAAGTGAGCTTACTATTCTAACAGATGTATAAGTCAGTCTTGTTATTATAATACAGATATCTTATATATACTGTGTCATACAGTCAAGACATCTAATCACTCTTGATATTCTTCTTTTATCTCAACTTTTTCAAAATATTATCACTCAGAGTCTTATACTGCTTCTGACTAGCTCTTCAGTGCTTCTTATTCTCTTTCATTAGTAATAGTTCTTTAGTATTCATATCTGTCTATTCAGCTTCTACTTTCAGTTCTACTTACAGCTCTTCATTATCAGCTGCTTTCACAGCAGTCTTCTGACTCTCTCTCTTCTTATTCATCTCAACATCTTCTTCTGAAAACTGGCATATAAATGATCATAACTTTTTCAAATAAGTAAACAGTGTTATAAGCTTTTATATTATAATCTTAGACTCTTCTTAACTCTTCAAGCTTCTATTATATAATTCATCTATTGACTCTTCTGTAGCAGTATTATACAGTCTAGCTGAGTAATAATAAGATATTACTGTCTTTCTCTTATCTTAATCTTTAATCACTTTATATATGAAAAGATAAGTTGATAGTATTGAAAGCTCATCTCTAAAGTTATTAGAATTAAAGATTTCTGACTCACTCTCTGTCTGAAATTCTAACTCTTTATCTTCATTATTTTCTTTCATCTTATTCTCATCTATCTTCTCTTTATCAGTCTTCTTGCCTGTCTTCTCTTCTCTATCACTTATATGAAGAAGAGTATCACACTTCTTCTGACTTAATAACTGAAATAATTTCTCTAAGATCAAGATCTTTTTCATCATACTCACTGTGTCTGTCTTCACAGCTATTAACTTCTTCTTGAAACTTATTATTTTTATAATCTAATCTTCTATATATTATGATTTTTACTAATTCTGCTATATTAAATTTTAGTAAGATGATGTAAGAAATAAGAGAAGAATAAGAAGAAAGTAATTATAATATATATATTAATACAATTATTTATCTACATTAATCTCTATTACTCACAGAATCTTCTCTTTATTATAATAAAACTTTTATTCTTATCTATCTTATTAAAGAATTCTTTCTTATTCAAGCTTCTTATAATTTCTTTACAATCTCTTTCTTTTCTTACAGCTGTTTTTAGATTAAAGAACTTCTGTCTCTTTCTTATCATTTCTTTTTAAGTTATTCTTACATCTTTCATTCTTTATAGAGATAAATAATTCTTATATCTGATTACTCTTTATATGAATAAGCAATTCTATTACTCAGTCTTCTCTTTTCTATAATATCTATAGCATATATAAACAGAATAGCACTTCTGAATAATATTCATCTCTTTGAGCCTAGTGTCTGTGATATCTGTCATCTTTTTTCAACATCATTTTTTCTTCTTCATGAACACATTCTTTTGAATAGAGAGACTGTGACATGCTTTCATCTTCTATTCAAGTCAATCTTCTATTCAACTCTAGCTTTCACTTCATTTCTTACTGTTTTCTGAAGCTTTCACTTCTATCTTCTCTCTCTGTTCTTTTCTTCATATGCAATCACTTCTTCTATAAAAGCTTTCAATTCTTCTCTATAGAGTCTTCATTCTTTTCTTTATATATAATCACTTCTTCTATGAGAGTATCTGCTTCTTCTCTACAGAGTCTCTGTTCTTCTCTTTATAGATAATTACTTCTTCTACAAGAGTTAATCTCTATAAAACAATCACTGTATATATAAGAGTGTACACTTATCTTCTATCTTTTAGAGAATCAGACAAATTTTTACCCTTATATCTGACTCTACGTAGCAGCGTATGCTACAATGATGAATAGATAAAAATTAATATTTAACTGATGAATTTAGACTAGCCGCTGGAATCATGAATTTCACGTTTGATCTCATTTGATCTGGTCCCATACATTTCTTGGCGTGAATCCCGCTGGGACTGGCTATCAAAAAAACAGATAAAGTGACTATATATCAGATCTTAAAATGGAACCATGACTTGAAAAAAATGAGAAAGTGGTCCCATTTGGTCCCATTTAGTCCCATTCTTGGCATAAAGTTACTATTTTTAGACATTTTAAGGTTTTTTTTAGACTATTTTTAATTTTTTAAAAAGTAACACTTTTTGGTAACACTCAAATGAGATTTAAAGTCATTTAAAGCAATAAAAATAATTTAAAATGAGAAGTGGAAATCATGGTCTCATTTGGAAAATGTGACAAGAGTAGACAGTAAGTTCCACTGGGACAGTATGAAACTACTATCTAATGTTAAAAGCGTGTAATGGGATCAGTTGAATTGGTAATGAGACTATTAAAAAATCTGGTCCTGGTCTCAGACACGGTCACACGGTCAGTCTAGATGAATTCATATCTTAATTATCTCTTTCTAACTGTTATTCAATGCTCAATTCAGTAAAACTCTCATAGTTCTTAATTTCTTCTCATTGATTCTCTTATACAAGGTAATATATAAGACTTTGAATTCTTATAACAGAGATGTAATTAGACTGATCATGTGACTGTGTCTGAAATCAGAATCAGAATATTAGATGATTTCATTATTAATTCAACTGATTTTATTACACTGTTTTAACATTAAATAGTAGTCTCATACTGTCTCAGTGAGACTTACTGTCTACTCTTATCATATTTTTCAAATGAGATTATGATTTTCACTTCTCAATTTAAATTATTTTTATTGCTTTAAATAACTTTAAATCTTATTTAAGTGTTATTAAAAAGTGTTACTTTTTAAAAAATTAAAAATAGTCTAAAAAAAACCTTAAAATATCTAAAAATAGGAACTTTATGCCAAGAATGAAACTAAATGAAATCAAATGAAATCACTTTCTCATTTTTTTCAAGTCATGGTTCTATTTTAAAATCTGATATATAGTCACTTTGCATGTTTTTTTAATGATTAGTCCCAGCGGGATTCACATCAAGAAATGTATAGGACCAGACCAAATGAGACCAAATGTGAAATTCATGGTCCCGGCGGCCAGTCTAGATGTGATTTTGAATTTTGAATTGCTTTTATATATATTAACAGCTCTTTGCAACTGCTCCTCAGTGTAATTAGAAGATTTAGACATGATTATAATTAATGATGATTATTTGAAGATGAAGAATGAAAATATTGAAAATATTTTCTGTACAGTGTGGTTTTCTGTACACTGTGGCGCACTCACTACAGAGAGTGAGTAAGCATGGCACGGTTAATCCGTTTTGGTTTACATGTAAGGAACAGAAGCAGAAAATATATATACTTAAACCAAAGCTTAAACAAAGTGAGTAGTGGCACTAGCAACCAGATTGGCCATTCGACTGAATCGTCTGCATCTGTTCCAACTGCTGCTGCTCCTGCTTCGACTTACTTCCCATCGTGCTCGTATCATAACCATGCTTTTCCAGGTATTGACGGAAGCGCACGTCTTCAATCGTGATCGTATCCTACGCGTATTCCAACATTAAAACCAGTTAATCACACAATGCCAACAGACACTAAAGCAAAAATACATGAAATACCAACCTGCCCAATATTCGGGAGCAAGAACAGCGCTATAAACGCAGACACCACACACATCGAGCTCGCGACGAAGAACGGGTCCTGGCCCGCGCGCACGGGATTCGGCGCCCGGGCCTGGATAATCGGGAACACGTACGTGCCCACGAAGGCGCCGACTTTGCCTATCGCGGCCGCGATGCCGTAGTATTGGCCGCGCACGGCCGTGGCGCTGGTTTTAGAGGCGATGAGACCGATGTTATCTCCCGGTCCGAGCTCGCCGAGGGAGAGGAAGATGCTGTTATTTTTGCATTGTTATACAACGTTTGTCATAGATCGTGAAAAAGGGAATGATGAGAGAAATATAAAATAACATACCCATAAACAACTACAAAGGCCCCGACGTTTTTCGCTGTCGCGAGATATTGGTAGCAGCCGGCCATGATGAAGCCGACGACACCCTGCAGAAAGACGCCGAGGGCAAGTGTATTACGGGGCCCGACCCAGTCGGAGACGAACGCGCCGAGAAACGCACCGGGAATGTAGAAGAGGTTGAGAACGGTGTTCCAGCCGAAGGACTGCCAGAGAGGCGCGGAATCGGAGAGAACAATCTTGAGCCAGGCAGCTGAGTAGATGCCGAAGGCGTAGATGGAGAAGTCATAGATGAACCATATTAGAGAAACGATGGACTAATTTTTGTATCTGTGGTTAATATCACGCTCTTTGTTCCAAGTATATAGATAGATATTCAATCCTTACCAGCCGCATCCAGTAAAATCTGTAAATCTCTTGGGTTAGCAAAACTGGGATACAAACAAAAGCAGAAGAGGTAAGGAGAAGAGACATACTTAACAATGAGCCAAACCGGATACTTATGCATCCTCTCCCGATTGAACTCCTCAGGCTCCTGAAACTTCAGACGCAAATACAGCAAACTCAGAGGTGGAATAACCCCAATCCCCAACATCACCCTCCAGGCCGCTCTCAGATGGCTCTCCGTAAAAATCAACACGACAACCATGGGCACAAACGCTGCAAGAACGAACCCAAGATCAATCTGCACATTAGTAAACAGCACAAACCACCTGTTCCGATGGCCCTCCCTCAGTCCACCTGTGCTCTCGGCTGCCGCAACGCTTCCGGCGGGATACTCACCACCAATACCCACACCAAGGAAGAAGCGATAGATAGTCAGCGCAGTAAAGAGCCCGGATGGTCTGCCGTTGGCACCATAGGAGCCGGCAGAGAGCGCTGCGAACACGATGAGGATAACGGTAGACGCCATCAGAGACCATTTGCGGGAGTAGTGATCGCTGACGTAGCCAAACAGGAGCTGACCTACGACGGTGCCAGCGAAGGCAATGGAGGGAACATTTTTGACGGCGGGGGAGTTGACGTAGGCAATTGGGTAGAGGGTGCGGAGGATGGTGTTGACTGAGCCGATGATCTGAATTTGTTGTTTTTTTTTTTAATAGGTTAGCGAAATGAAATACCAAGCTCCACCAGTATTCAGTCGTGGGTTGGAGCGTTTTGTGAAATGCAGTGAAGAAAATGGGTAGGATCACATCATTGGCATACATTATTCAGATAGCCGTCAGAAAAAAGACCTGCGCCACAGGCTATGACCGGCCACACACGCTCCCAGCGGCTCTTTGGGGTCTCCTGCTCAAGGTCACTTCGGATGGTCGGGATGACAGTTCCATGAGATTTATCTTCAGCTGAGGAGACAGCAGCGGTGTTTTCTACGACAGAGGAATAGCCCGACATAGTTAAAGGTTGGCTGTGATGCTTGTACGTGCTGGAGGGGGGTGATCAGGACAAGAAAAGATGCCCGCAGTGTATCTTTTCAGTAGCTGTTGTATATTTTCTGTATCCCTTTTGAACAGTAGAAGATAAACAAGAACGGTCCAACTGGAAGCGCCGCCTGGATAGGTGGGACTGTGTGGTAGGTGCAGGAAGCAGAGGAAGTGGAGGAAGCGGAAGAGGGAGAGACGAAGAAAGGTATCAAAAAGGACATGTCCAATGTATGAATGAACCTTAAAACCCCCTTCAACTCCGACTCCGAAAGTATCGTGAATGATAAGCGCTCTCCGCAGGCGGAGGGTTCGGGTCAGCGAATAACCAACTATAAAAAATAATGAAAAGTAACAAAATAAAAGTGGGGAATACCCCGACAAGCTTTGACTAGCGAAAAGCTTAGCTAAACCCTATTCTGCAGGCGGGCGAACGACATTGCGAGTCCTGGAGGGTGACTCCATATCAAATCACGATTGGCTCAGATATCCGCGAATGTTAATATAGCAGTATCTTGCATGCGATCTCACACCTTGAACCAATCAGATCTCTTTTATCATCATGTCAAGGTTTGTCGAAGGTTGTTGCATTTGAGTGTATTCGCAGCTGATTCTGTATACACACCTGCTACTGCTTCAGCGGACAAAAATGAAAAGCCATAAGCCATCAAAGGTTTTCGAAGGCCGGAGGTCCCCGATTCCTCAGTTGCGTGCCTTTGAAAATATTTTTCAAGGCAAACCTGGGGTGCGGTGGAAATTGGGCCCGGACTAGAAGCGTGAGTCATATACCTGAAGGACGTCAATTTTGCCATATGGCGCACTAGCAGCTAGAAAGGCGAGAGAGAGAAGAAAAAGAAAATAGAAAAAGAATAATGATATAATACAGGACGTCAGAGACATGGAAAAGATAACAAAAGAATTTTCTATGATTTGAAGATAAATGAATAAAAAAATAATAAACATATTTCAAGAGGGGGAAAGAAAGATCCAAAAGCTACGAGATAGGGTACTACTATCATCATATCGTGTAGAACAACACAAAAAAAAAAAAAAAAAAAAAAAAAAAAAAAAAAAAAAAAAAAAAAAAAAAAAAAAAAACAAGGAAATAAAAAAAGGAAATAAATAAATAAGCTGTATGCAGAATGTGAGGGGATTGAATTAAATAGATAGGATAAATAATTGAGGAGAGATATCCTTCTATCAAATGCTAAGCCCCCAAGCAAGGTACAGTCTTAAAAACCAAAAACATAATAATATAAATAATCAATAAATCAAAAAATAGCTATATGCAATCATCGATATTCATCCATAAACTCCTTATGGAACTTGACGATCCGATCCGTCCACGCCGTCCCAGGCGCCAAGAACGTCGTGCGGAAGTGGAGGGAGCCTTCCTTCTGCCCGAAGCCAGATCCAGGCACCACACAGACACCCGTCGCGTCCAGGAGTTTGAGTGCGTAAAACTCGTCTGGCTCGCGGTTGACGGCTTTGGCGGCTTCGATGGCCTTGGGTGGTAAGTTTATGGTTGGGAAGAGGTACATGGCACCCTAGAAGAAAGTGAAGAAGAATTACCGGTTAGCTAAAATAAAGTAAGATATCTGGGGGGAGGGGACGGACCTCAGGTTCTTGACATTCAACCCCTTCCATCTGCTGGAAAGCTTTATAAAGTGCCTGCGCACGAGCATACAAACCATCTCGAATGCTATTATATTCCTTCTGATACAGCTCGTAGCTAGGATCGCCCTCAACGGGGGGGTTGACCATCATTTCTAGTAGACACTGGCCTATGACAGGCGCGCAGAGCATGATACTGATGAATTTATAAATATTCTCTAACACATCCGGGTGGAAACCGACAAGCTCGAAATAACCGCCCCGATGGCCACACTCTCCAACCATACCCTTCGAAATACTATGCAGCGATGCTAGTTCAACATGGTCATATTCGCCAGGCGCATCTTGTTGCAATTGCCGAAGACGCTTTTTGAACGACGTGAACTCCCCCTTGAAGACGTTTGTTTGGTACACTTCATCTGCGAGGATGACGAGATTGGCTTCGACCGCGATATCGATAACGTTCTTGATTGCATCGGGTTTTAGACTAGCGCCCGTGGGGTTTCCGGGGTTGATGACCACGATTGCACGAACGTCGATGCCATCTTCACGGGCCTTTGCAAGCGCTGCGCGGATACCGTCGACGTTGGTGCCCCACGAGTCGCTCTCGTCAAGGTAGTACGGCACACACTGGGCGTTCAATACTGACAAGGTAGCAGTGTAGAGCGGGTATTGGGGGATGGGAACGAGGACGCCTGTTTTGGGCCCGGCGCAAAGGACATGGAGCAAAGTGTTAACTCCAGATGATGCACCAGCAGAGAGATAGATCCGGGCGGGGTCCGTGGGGAAGCCATCACGGCGCTCGATAAATTTGGCAACGCTTTCACGCACAGCGGGCGAGCCATGGCTCTGGCTGTAAGCGCCTACGCTGTGGACGTCTTTCAGAAGCTTCTTCGCCCTATCAATCACATCCTGTTTATAGCCAAAGGAAGTTTTCAACGCTTCCTCGTTGTCCAGTAAGGCGGGGTATTCAAGTATGCTGAGGACTTGGCGGAAGAACGTGATGGGTTTCTGGTCCAGCTGTTGCGGGTTTCCGATATTGGCGAAGATGACCTTGTCGAATGGAAGTGCATCATCAACACCCACGTTGGCAGCGGCATTTGCCAATCTTACCCGGTATTCCTCAGCCTTGACGGCCAGTTCCCCGCGGACGGCATATTTGGCCGCCAACACGTTTGGGTTAATGTTGCTGCCATTGAGGCGACCTTTCGGGTCTAGTTTTGCTATCGAGCCCATATTGCGACGTGAGAGGGAGAGAGATGTTGATGGTGACAGAGATGGCGGAGGACAGTATGTGGAGGAGCGGGGAGAGTCTGGAATATCAACGAGACATGAAAGAGATGATGAGCCAAGGTTCCGCCAAGTGTATCGGGATTGTAGGATGCAACTAGACAGGGAAGCAAGACCAGGATCGGATCAACCCGTAGATGGAAGTTGAACCAATAGCACTCTCGCTTCCATTGATGTTTTTTCTTTCTTTTTTCTCTTCTTTCTCATATTCCCACAATTAATAGCAGGTGGTGGTGGAGTGCAGGGAGGGGTTGCGGGGCGTATACTCTCGGAATGGGCATATCGGGGACAGCGATATGGGCAGACAGAAAAAAAGTTCCCATACCTGACAGAAAGCCGAGCAGCCGGGATCTCGGCCGGGAAATTGTAGCGCGATATCGCACAACACGGAGGCCACCGATGGGAGAAGAGGGATGAAGGGGCATCGAAGAGGATGAGAGCGAGGACGTAATAGATATGCGCCGACACGCCATGGTGCCTTGTGTCCCTGATCCCAAACGCGGATATTTAAATGTTGCCAGCCTGGGTTTTTTTTGGGTGACAGGAGCCTTCCATAGGGGAAGAACGTAGGGTTAATTTACGGTGATTACACCGTGGATCCACCATTCCACCCGTGTCACGTGTCGCCGATTGTAACACATGTTCCACCATTATATTCGGCGACACGTCGCCGAATATTAAATGTCAAGATGGCGTTGAAATGGCACAGGACTTCTTGACATCATCAGGGGACGGCTCAGTCACCATGTAATCAGTGAATGCCATCATCAAGATACTACTGAGATACTGTGAGCCATAATATACTGTCCTGTCAGCAAAATCAATACTTATATACTATTCAGCTAGACTAGTTAACTACTTCATACAAATCAAATTACTATCTAAAGAAATGAGATATCTCAAGTGTAATATAAATATCTTGTTGTCTGAGATTCATATATTAAACAATCATCATTTTCATCAGTATTCAGTATTGAAATGTCATACAATACTGTCTTTTGAATCACTGAAAGCCTGATAATAGTGTAACTATCAGAATTCTCTTGTAAAATCAGCAGATTCAGCAGATGATTCTGCCTGACATGATGTAGAGAAATAAGTGTAAAGAAAATCTGCTTAATTCTTCTCATTTCATGAACAAAGATAGTTGTAATCTGATCAAGATCAGTTCTCTAATATTGAAGAATATTTCTCTTTATAAGAGAGATTCAGTGAACACACTCTCTGATTTATATGTTAATAAGTTAATAACTGATTAATTGATTAGTTGAAGAGATATACTGAACTGAGAATGTTAACTTATTATAGAAAAGAATTGAATGATGATCTAGTTTCAAAACTGAGAGCTTATTTCAATCAGTGTTATAGAATTCTCACAGATTATTGAGAAATGAATGAAGCAATTCAAGCTTGAAGAGATTTATAAATTATATACTGACTTTCTCTGACATCTTACTTGATGATAGATGACTAAAAATCTTCAGAATAATATAATCTTTTATTAACTCTAACTTAATAGAGTAGTTCAGTGAATCATCATCATTATCTGATTCTTCATTCATTCTCAGAAGATTATTGAACAGTGCTGAACAAACTGTATATAGCTGTTGAATCTTCTGCATCAGACACAAGTCAGATCTGTTAAAAGAATCTCTCAATACTAGTTATAAGATATGATGAAAGCTCTTCTGCAAGAGCAGTGTCTTCTTCATATTCTGATAATTTATTCACTGCACTAGATTCTTGTAGTCTTAATACTTGTTCTTCTCTGTCAGAACATTGTAGTTGTTAGATACAGTGTATTCTTTAATCAGCTTAATATAGTGTAAATTAATATGCATATTCAGCTGATTCTTTATATATTATATAAGCTTTGCTTTTTTAGTATAATCACTGATATGTATAGCAACTGTACTCATTGTTGAAGCAGAGAATGACTGATAACTAACAACTGAATCAGCTTGAAATGATTCAAATGTTGCTGCTGCTCTTACTGCAGCTTCAATAAGAAATTGTAGCTGTCAGCAGACTGTAAGTATAATTTAATGAGCTACTTCAGAATTATTTTCTCTCAGAGATTGAGATATCAATAGGCTATTACTCCTTGCAATGACTGCATATATCTGAATAATAAGATTAATAGATGATTAATTTGATACTGAAAATGCTGCAGAAATAATCTGCTTGATTACTGAACTAAGTCATTTCTCTCTAAGCTCACACTGCAAGACAAGAGATATAATGATTGAAGCTTGAGCATGTTCTTGAAGCTGATACTTCTTAAGATGAGTGATCAGTGACTGTAGATAATTTCAATCATGAGAAAAAGAGAATATCTGCAATATTTGAAAGTATTCTAGCTGATCATGCAGTGATAAGACAGTACTGATCAGCAATGAGTGTGAAATCTCTGATATATCAGTGAACTCACTATGATATGAATCAGAAGAAAAAAAGAAGATTAAATTCAAACTTGAACATATTTGAAAAAGAGACACTGTCTATACTGTCATACTCTGCTCTTGACACATTTACTCTCTGTGTGTGAAATTCAGCAGATTATTCAGTTTAGACTGAAGATGTTACATATGATGATGAAATCAGCTGTTATTATGTAGATTGTAGTTCAGATTCAGCTGATTTTTATCATTAATAAAGCAGCTTCAGCATGATCTTCTTGCAGTTAGTTCTTTGATCTCTGCATTGCTATTTTACTACAGTATATCTTCAAGAAATGCAATACAAGATGCAATAACTCTCATCTTTTCTTCACTGATATTCATCATAACTCTTTCACAATTCAATGTAGATAAGTTATGTGATAATACAGTGACAGTGTTGAGAAAATTGATATTATGAGAATCAAAGATTAGAGTAAAAATATTATTTCACTTCAAGCACTCAACAGCACTCAGTGCAGAAATCATATAAAAATTCATCAAGCTTCAGTATATGTTCTGATATAAATCAAATTCATCAATAAATAATTGATATGACAGGGAAATAACTTATATATCAGAGCAAAATATGCTTTTCAAAAGATCTTAATTATGTACTGCAATTTCCAACTCAGTCTGAATCAGTGAAGATTTACAATATAGTCATATCTCAACAACTTCAGTTTTGATTCTCATGACCTGGTGAAGAAAATACTGACCTTGACTCTCATATACTAGCAGATCAGAACCTGATTCAAATACTGTATTCATATGAATATTAAGTTGATTGAGAACTTGAATAATTAAGATATATTTCATCTCATTCTTCATTGCAATTATTTTGAAGGAATTAAATGATGAATTCAAGAATGATAATCTTTATACAGTCTGCAGAGTATAGTGAACAGCTTCTTGAACTTTCAGAACTATTATATAAGATCTCATGTCTGAATATCAGCAATCATGTCTGATAAAACACACTCTCTTAATATGAGATATATCATTCAACTCTGATTTGCAGTAGCATTCAAGATTCCCACACTGATACTGAATAAAATTGAAAGGAAAAAGAGGTTTATTTGTTGATGAATATTATATGAAGTTGCTGAAACAATATTTGACAGAGCTCTCTCAACTGTGAGATTGTCATAACTCTGTGAAATTGTTGATAATTTCTTCCATTTCTATATGCATTTGTCACCGAAAAGTTGGGAATTTGAGGAGAGCAGATATCAAAGAAATCAGATTTTAAAAGTAGAGTGATCTCATAAAGAATTCAGTGAGATTTTTCTGAGCAGAACTCAGAGTTGACATTTACATTGATAATACTATTGAAATTGAGGTTTTCTTGACTGATAAAATCAGAAATTGTGCTCTGCATTGCTTTTTCAAAGTTGATAGATCTTCAGAGAGCAGACTTATCAGTGATGTATTCTTTAATAAACACAGAATTTACAGTAGTGATTTGTAGTTTTTTTAGGAAATATCTGACTCTTCAGCTCAGAGTCTCATTGTCAGAACAAATGAATTCATTTCAAAGTTACTGTGTTTGTGAGGTATATTAATTACTGAATCAGAATCAACAAATTGATCAGTAATAGTAACAGCAATTGCATCAGTAGCTGGCATTTCAATATCATCAGTAACTGACTCATCAGAATTCTCTTGATCATTATTTTCAGAAATATTCTTCTCAGCAGCTGCTTTCAAAAGCTACTTAATATACTCAACATTATCAGCAGCATCCTCATTATATGACTCTGTCTTTAGAGAATGTTAGTTTTTATAATAATAGAGACATCAAAAGTGATAAACTTACTGAAAATAGCAATACTTCTTTGCTGGGAGTATCATTGTCTGAATCACTGTTGATAAAATCTTTATTTGCAGTTTCTGAGAAAGAGAGGCTCTGATGTTGAAATTTCAATTGATCATCTCTGAATTCTTATCTAGAGACAGATAGCAGATAGTGTTTCAGATTTCAATTAAACAGACATGATATTTTACTTTCTGATATGATTTGTAGAAAAAAGTTGCATAGTTGAAAAGATATGAATGAAGTGAATAAGTGATCTTGATAAAATAAAGAGATGAGGTTGAATTACTGAAAAGAGATATATCAATAAGAGCTGCAATCAGCAACAAACATTATCTTAATATTAACAATCATACTTTCTTTATTATATTCCTGCAAGTAGCTGATTATTTTATCAGAATACTATCAAAATTCTATCAAAATCCTGAAAATAAGCATAATTATAGATCTCAGTTTAATAGATCTCTCTGAACTCTCTCATCTGGTAGATTTACTGAGACAAATCACTGATTTCAAAAGAAATCATATATTGATATATCTGTATCATAGAATGAACATAATGATATCAATGAAGAATATCAGACAGACAAGAAATCAAACTCATTCTCAATATTCAGTGATCTATCAAAGAGATGTCACCAAATCCAGCACTCAGATGCAGAAGTGTATGAGAAGGAAATTCAGCTGACAGAATAAAAGCTCTGTGTTGAAACCAGATAAATGTATTTTCTTACATTCTCAAAGAACAATCTGGACAAGACAGTTGCAGAGATGATGAAAACAAAGAATAAAACCTCATACATATTCTCATCAAGCTGAATTACAATGCTTGATGTAATAAAGACATGGAAGTCAAGAACATTGAAAGAAATGAAGACAAGTATTTTCAGTATTTCAGATCTTAGCAAAAATCTCAACTTTTCAGTGAGATATATCAAGCCTCTGATGAGATATCTTGACCTTTCAGCAGAGAATCTTAGACAAATCTAAACTTTTCAGTGAGATATCAAAACTTGTCTGATCAACTTAACTAATCATTTATTAATATAAAATCATGTTCAACAGAAGAAGACAAAAAGCAGAGAAAGTTCAGTGATAATTGAATTGCATAACTGCTATGAAGAGTTGACAATCTTTGACTATTTTTGTAATTTATTTATCACTGAAAAGTTCTTCTTGGTTTTTTACTGAGTGCGGGGAATCATTGACTTTAATTGATTCTTTGAGTGAGAACAATGATATATGAAATGTAAGTTAACATCAGTTTGAAAAACATCAGACTGAGAAATAAGAAACTGATTCTGAAAAATAGAGATATATACAAATCTGACAATCTAAGTCAAAATATTTGATGATGCTGATACAAATGAAAATTCCACCGGAGCTATGCTGTAATGACAAGATATTCTGATATTTTGAGATCTTATAAGTGATGTTTCTGAATATTGATAAATTGTCAGAGATGATTTTACAGAGGCAATTCAGAATACTCTGACAGTTAAAAAAAGATGTATGATGAAAGATGCACAGAAGAAGGTGTGAAAAAAGATAAAATTTTCAGATGCACTTCTGACAAAAGACAGGCCTGTGATGTAGAGTGTTCAGTAACACAGAGAGTTCTGACATAACTTATTTCTATTTCAATATATTTAGTTTTCTATGAGTTTTATATATAAATTAGTTAATATATACTTTAATATATATAATTAGAATATACCTGTCTTGATATTTGCTGATGAAAATTGTTATATTCTCTAAAATTTGTATGATTATGACTGCAGCAGAATCACTGATTTCACTGCATCAGAAAATCTTCTTATTTATCTGAAATTCTGTAGATATATTTCTGACAGTGTATTGAACACTTGTTTCTGATTAATAGAAATGATTTTATATTCAAAATAGCTGTAGTTCATTCAATGATAGCCCGCGCAGAAAGTATTTATTCTGAAAATAAGATATGAATGAAATCTGCTAGATATGTTGATTGATTGTGTTTGAGAGTCTTCTGAAATATGAAAGCATTACAAAAGAATCAACAATACATATAAAGAGAATGTCAACTTATCATTCTTCTTTTCTTTTCTTTCTTTCTTCTTCTCACAATCATATCATAATGCAAACATTGATTTATCAGCTCACTCAGCTCATTCAGCCTTTTCTTATCTTCAGTAAGATTAGTATTCTGTCAGTTGTAATAGAAAGCTTTAAGAATCAAAAGTTCTAATATAAGATACTGTGTGTGCACAGTACAGTAAGAATATTGATGAACTATTATATCAGTATCAATAACAGCATTAACAATAGTATTAATAACAGTATTAACAACAGCACTAATAACAGCATTAATAACAGTATTAATAACAGCAACAATAACAATAACAGCAGCATAAATGATCAGTGACACTTTCAAGTGTATGCATGCAGTGGCTGCAAAAGCACAAGAGAAAGAGACAGTGATCAGGCTGAAAACTTTCAATCAGTCAGATAAGTTAACAATATGCGAATATTATATCTTGTATATCTTTCCTCATCATATTAATGCTATTTGTGACAAAGTTGAAGAAAGTATGAAGTCATGTTCAAACTGCAATTATGAAAAGAAAGATTGTGTGATATACTCTGATGAATTCAAAGATGAAATTGAAAACCTAGTCTGAATTCATGAGTTTTATCTTACTGTCTCAACAGTTATGAAGAAATCAGTCAAGTCAGCCATGCTGAAGACAGTGAAGAATTTATTCAAGTAAATTAAGAAAGCAAAGACATGCTGACAGAAAGCAGAAAACTAAAAAATAAAGAGTATAGCTATTATATTGAAAGCCTTGAATACATCTATCAGTTCTGCTAAAAAAGTTAAACTTGAAATTGAGAAGATTAAGTTGAATATTGAAAGAGTCAAATTGAAGATCAAAAAGAAGAAAATCACTATAAAGAAGAAGAAAATTGTCATTGAAAAGATAAAATTAAATATTAAAAATATAAAGCTTACTGTTCAGTAGAAGATCTTGAGATTAGTTAATAATCATTATAAGAATTAAAAAGCAGTGATAAAGAATCTCATAAACTTAATTAACAGTGTCAGAGAGAAAGTGCAGTGTATTTTCATTGAAATGTATGAAATAATAAACTAATTTGAAATAATTGTTAAACTTCTCAGTAATACAGTTGATAAGAGCAGCAGTGATAAGAAATCTATTAATAGTGATAATTCTCTTCTTCTCTCTGCAACTCTTATCAGCTTCTCTATCACTGCTGTTAATTCTTCTCTCTTCTTCTTCTTTAATCTTCTGACTCTGATAAGTGTTCTGAGTCTTCAGACTTATGAAATAATCACTGAAACAGTAAGCTAGAGTTGATGAAATGATTCTCAGATTTATTCAGAGATTAATAATTGTATAGACTTTTAAATGCCTAGTATCTGATCACTCTGAAATCTTAACTCTCAAATATCAGATGACTGATAACAGTGTCTCTCAGATCATGACTAATCTGTAAATCTCAATTCACAAGTTCAGTGATGTGATTAATGAGAGCAACATGACTGAGAATGAAGACTATGAAAGAAACTTGATTCAGTTGATTTGAGAGAATTTAGATAGAAGTGTCTGTGATTTTCAATAGAGAATGATATCAGTGAATGAGATGATTTTAAGAATTAGTAATTATATAGATTGAATTCAGTAACATCACTAATATAATAATTGATTTTTTCAGTTTATCACTTATTTACAGTGATTCCATCATTCATTCACCATTATACTATGATTTACAGCTCAGCGACCGTGTCGCCGATTGAAATGGTGGAACAACCATAATCCGGTCGTGTAATAACCCTACGTTCTTCCCATACGGTTCTTAACGGCGGTAGATCACGTGTCATAATCATGTGATGTTGGCAGAATCCAATACCCGCTAGGCGGTGAGTCACCCAGGCACCAGTCATATCACCGATGTCCGGCAGAAGAGTTTGGGTGGAATATCACCAAGTACACCGCTCATTCCTCTGCCAACGTAACAATGCATCATACTCCCTATAGCTTCCGGTGTTGAAAAGACACTGGTCCCGGGTATCATCTAGACAAGTCGATTTGTCACAGCACCACCATTGGGCCGCAGAGGAAAGGAAGAACGAATAAAAAAAAGTTGACGGGATCGAAGCAGGTACAAACTACCATTGACATCTCGATGTAATTTTCGCATATCATATCATCGTCGAGTTAAAAAGAACATCCTGTACTTACCGTTTCGACGATAACAGCCATCGAATAGCGCTCCTTCACATTTCATAAATCAGTAACTGCATCGATAGAAACGACCCCTGCAACGCAAGAAAATCTATGCTATATGAGTTTAATTGGAAATTAAAAATCATCTATCTCATCCATCCGTCTACGGTATTCCCGCCAATCCCTACCTACCATTCATCATACATCAAAACCCATCCATACCCTACTATTCCTAGCCCAGCATATCAACCCCGTTCGCTCCCCCGCATCCTCACCGCCTGCCCGTATTTCTGCAGCTTTGTAATCAATGCATCTCCTTGCTTCACTACATCGGCATACTGCTTATTCTTGTCGTCGGGCCGGTTGGTCTCAATGATGTTGTTGACACGGTCGATCGTGCATGCTATCCGGTCGCCGGCGATGAATTTGGCAAGATCCCTGTTTGAAACGAACGATGGTTAGCCCGAGTTATTATTGTTAAATGAGCGGGGGAAGGAGAGACGATCGATACGTACCTATCAAGGAAATCAACAGTGACGCCAAAATCGTTGGCCATGCTACTAAGTCCGACAACACGATAACTCTGCAGTAGTTGCTGATATCCGCGTAACCGCATCTCGCGCACAAACCACGCGCGGTGCTCATAGAGATAACGGTCCTGGCTCAGAAAATTATCCTCAACGGCCGCCAGTGCCAGGAAGAACGAACGATAAATGCCATTGTACAAACTGCTGACGAGGTTGGAGAGCGGAGAGAAGTCCATTGGTGCCTCTTCTTCCGGGGCAAATCCACTTTCAGCGCCCAGGGTGGTAAGATTTACAACGGTTGATGCGACACCTGGGGTTGTGGTCGTAGCAGCATCCTTCATTTCTTCATCTCCAGCTCCAGGTCCTGACGAAATGGCGCCACTCAAGGCGGATAGCCTGTCTTCTCCTTCACCGAGAATGGCCTTGATTTCAGGCGCATCGACGACTTTTGCTTTAAAGTCGAGGCGCTTCAAGGCAAGGGAGCCAGCGAGGACAGAGTAGACAACAAGGGACGAGTAGCTGCATAATTCGTAGCTGGTGAATGTGGACAAGCTGTCGAGAAGAAGAGGTGCGGCCAGGTTATAAGAGCGGACTGTAAGGAGGTGAAGTCCCTTGTAGGCCTTTAGGCGATTTCTTCGATCCCAGTCCCCGCCACTCTCGACCAACGCACTTGCTCTCTCCACCTGCTTTTTGACAAACGCCTTATCACCAAAAAACAGTCCGATCCGAATAATTGCCAGAATCAAGTCGATCTTCGTGCCTAGAATTCCGGTTTTCTCTAACACTGCTTCGTAAGCAGCAACTGCCTTGTCCTATATGCGTTGAAGATTACTGTTAGAACAAAAATTAAAATGGAAATGAACAATAAAACCTGAAGAGAAGGAAAATAAATAAAATCTTACCCTATCGCCAACCCGGGCCCAGAACTCCGCTCGTTTGCCTCGAGCAGCTTGAACCTCAGTATCACCCGCAGCCTCAGCAGCATCGTCTTCCTCCTTTTGCAAAGCATCCAGCTCCTTCTTATTCTCATCTACCAACGAATCGTACAGCTTCTCGTCCCACGGCAGGGTAAGATTCTGCGACACTTTCCTGCCAGACAGGAGATTCGACGCGACTACGCCGCCTTTACTGCCTGCGGGGATTGTGTGCTGGGAGGTGGTGCCTTCGCCCGTAGTGTTCAGGATGCCGTCGACTGGGTGGGCCAGATGCCGGTATAGAGGGGCCATATGATGTTGTGAAATGGCAGATTGCAGCCTCTTCAGCGAGGCCTGTTGGTGTGTTTGGGAACATGCCGGGTTGGAGAGGTTAAAGATGTCTTGGGCGAGGGAGAGGTTGGGGTATTTGGCGTATTGTGGATCGGAACCCATGGCTGCTGGTGAAATGGAAGAGGAGAGAGAACGGGGGAGGTGAGAAAATAGTAAAAGAAGGATGTCGGTGCGAAAGATCTATAGTTATAGAGAGGGTGGATGTTGATATCCAAGTATGTTGTCAGTCGCGATGGTTGCTGGGTGAGCTGGAGTTTCTGATGTTCCGGCTCCGATATGGCTGGCCTGGAATAGGCCTAGCGTTGTCAGCCGGCTAGTTAACGGGAGGAGGTTGATCAACCTCCTCCCATCTAAACCTCGCTCACTACCTTTCAAAGGATCTTGAACTTCTAATAGTCCTAGGATATTACAATCAGACGGTTACCTATTGGGACTCAGCTGGGCCCAGCATATCGACCGTGCTCTGTTGTTGATGTTTACTTTAGATGAAACAATATTGTCAATCATAACTTGCCCGCTAGTCCCTTCTATCATCTTATATCATGATACTAATGTTTGATTAACTTACGTAGCCAATTATTAGAGCTCAACATGCCGACTCGGGTTTTCCCACACTACCCAAGGCTTAGGCCCATAGAGCTGACCTACTTCATGTTCCACGCTGCCAAATGAACGGTGTTCCCAATATCCGTTGTCTACCACAGTCTTGAACATCCGTTTCTTCAATAGTTTATATAAATTGCTATTCTTCGACAGGATCCTGGGACTTCCGCCAAAGAGAATTCTAGTAACAGCCTCGACGAGTTTCAGGACCTTGCGGGAACCTAGGGCCTAGCTTGATATCTTTCATGGGGATTGAGAAGACAAGCAATTCCTAATTTCCAATTGATTGCTGCGGAGTTGAATGAACCGCGAGCTGCATCAAAGGGGCTCTTACGAACATGGTTACTTGCGTTCGTTGAAACAAACATGCAGAAATGGATGGATGCGCCTCACATGCATTAGGTATGTGCCAAGCGAAAAATGCGAGGCGGAATGGCAGAATGTTGCGAGAGAACTTCAGGTCAGCGCCATCTCAAAAAGGGAGAGCAAAGTCCCAAAACCGAGAACCTGAGTCTGCCAGGGAGCAGTATGCTCCTCAGACCAGCTGCTGTCATCGAGTTTCTTTGATTCACCATAGAGCAACAACCACTGACCTGTCTTCATAACAGAAATAAGACCAGCTGTGATGTGCCTACGAAATGAATCAATGGGTCATGCCAGCAACAGTGAATTGACTCGTGAATTGGTCAATTAGACTGCTCGTTTTCCTCGCGATGCCACCCACCCTGCGGTAAAAGATGGCCGTCATTGAAATGTTCAACAGTCAGCAGTCAACGGCATCGCTGGGGAAGCTTGTAGCACATTTTTATCGTTGCATTGCAACGAAGCTCAGGCAGCGCAGGATAGATCGCCTACAATGGAAAGCAAGACAGAAAAAAAAGGACAGTAAAAAAGGTTCCCATTCGTCTCAGGTAAGGTTGCTGTCCACCCCAAGACTACCATATCTTGTCTGTTGCAACCGTCGTCATCCTAATCATCGCAAGAAAGAGCTTTCATGTCGTTCCCTTGAAAATGCGCCTTTATACATCCGACGAACCACATGGTCCGTTCTTGGTCAGTGATATCTATCCTTTGCTTTCGCGAACATTTCCCACGATGTTGATTGTGTTGATAGTTCGCACGATAATGATGGCAACAAGCTGCCATGGACGTCAGGCGAAAACTCCCTGTGGCGCATCGCCGTCGCTGGTATCGCTGGTGTGCCACGGCAGTGGCTTCCACGGGCTTTATATGGGCCTGCTTCCGCAAGGCACCCTCAAAGTGGGGGGAAGATGGGGGGATGGCCCGGATGGGAGACCTGTGGGTGCCTTTTATTGAAGGTGAAGAGCATATTGATCAATGGTCAAATGGAAATATATATACGTGCCGGATACATACGTATACATATATAAATATATTTGTTGCTATTTATTTTATTTTATTTTATTTTTTAAAGAACACAATAAAGCCATTTCAATAAAGGGTAAATTGGCATATTCAGTAAATATTTCGATATGGTCCCTTTCCGACCTATCACCCATTTCTATGGCGTTGGATATGCACTCAAAATCAGTAGAAGAAAAAGAAAAACAAAAACAAAAAACTGAGTCATAATACGTAAAGGGCAATATTTTCCGGAGAGACACTTCAACAATGACTGGTGACGTGACATATCACCCATCCCATCCCCCCACTTATCCACTCTTTCGACTGCTGAACATCACAGCACCTCGCTACTTAGCTACTTCTGTTTTCATTTCTGTTTTCATTTCTGTTTTCGCAAAGAAGAAGAAGAAGAAGAAGGCCGCCACTCACCCCCAAGCTCGGGACAGAATACGGGAACCAACGGCTGGGGGGATATCCTTGGCTGAAAAAGAATTTGAAGACGATCGATCATTGTTAATGGGGATTGGGATTGTCAATTGATGACTGGACTGCGACGTTGCAGGTGACTGACTGACTTGACTAACTACTGGGCTTGCTCAGCGGGCTGGACTGGACTGGCCTTGGGCTGGCTGGGTTTTGGATCAGACTGAACTGGGCCAAATAATAAATAAATAACTCAAGCCGGCTGAACACCTTGAAGCCGCTAGAGGCTGGGCGGGAGGCCAGACAGTGGAAAACCCGGGGAAAACCCGGGGAATAAAATAAAAAAAAAAAAGAAGGGCGGGAGAACGAAAAAAGAAAACATGGAACCTTGGAAAACTCGCCGGGTAACGTGACATGATGAAAAGCCAGAACTATTCATAGCTTATAACTACAGAGTAGTTACATTTTGTTTCGTTAAGTTAGTTATTAGTTGTAACCGAGAACAACAAGAGAATAGGAATGCTCTGGCTGATGAAATGCCTGAAAGAAAGACGCCAAAAGCTCTCCCGAAGATTCTTGTCAAACAATAACATTTCTAAACTACTGTTGTTGGCCAGCAACCTTGGAATTACTATGACACTCCGAATAAAACCAGGTAAAGACCAAGTAAAGTATATACGCGTCCTTTTTTTAATGGATATCAGGCAAGTTTGAAACCTAGAAATGCAACGAATTGTTCTGATGTGGCGAATATCGTAGGGCCCCTTTCTCTTATAGCCTTCCCTTCCCCCCTTCAAAGTCTCCCGAGGGCCAAGCAAGGCTGTGGCGCAAAACCTTCAGTGGGCCGCGGATTGCCGCGCGGAGAGTGAGTGGAAACGAACAAATCCCCATGTGATATAGAGCATGGGGAAAAGAAGAAAAAGTAAGGAAAAGAAAACGAAAAAGTTCCTGGCTGAGACAAGGATGAGACTGTAGTACTACTGATGGAAACAGATTACCATAGAATTTACAAAGAAATGCGGTATTTATTTAATAGGGAGTCTGATCTTCAATGTTCGGATATAGCTGGTGGTTGTAAGTAACCAAGAGACATTGATACAGATGCTTAGAAGCGGCTTATAGAGTAATAAGTATACATGTACATGTATACAAAACATGTACCTAGCGACCGTCGGAATCGATGAGGAATAATATTAAATAATAGCGAACAGGGAATCACCATACGGAAGCAATAAGACAGGATAGGGCCTCCCTCCTCCCCAAGGACAAGGAAGATGTAATCTTCTTGGGAGATATCTGGATTGAGGGGCACATTCTTCTACATTATTATTAATATCAACTATTATGGATGTACTGTACTCCGTACTCGGTTCAGTTCCATGTCGTCATTCCACGGCGTATTGTTATGCCCAGGCCATCGCATCGGGAGAACTCGGGACCATTCAGCCGCCGTGCACGGGGATTTCATTTGGGCCCGGTTCCGGGTTGCTGGCTCTCTTTTTTGGCTTTCTGGCGCACGGAGCAAAGGGGGAGAGAGAGCTGAGTCCATGTACAAGTACATGTACATGTACATTTACATTTACATACAATAGTAATACATGTAACACTCGTAAGTTAAAGGTGAACGTTACTGACTATATAGTTATAACTCACTCTGTAACTACGGAGTACTCTTGTATTATGATTGTAACTTATTCAATAGTATTATCCTACTACAACCTCCTCGCGGGGACTCACCCACCCGGTATTTCCCGGGCGTGGTGGAGCTCAGGCAAGAACAGGACACAACAACGACTCCAACCAAGAACAAAAAAAAAAAAAAAAAAGAGTTTGCCATCGAGAAGATTGTTGGATTGTCTGCTATTATTCTGATTGGATTTGCGCCAGTCTGAGTCTACCTTCTACCTTACCCTGCCGGGTGTCAGGCACCTGCTGCTGCTTGGTTCGGTCTGCTATGCGCCACACTCTACGCAGCGGGTGCTGCTGCTGCTGCTATGTCTCTCGTCTTTCTCTTTCTGTTTCTACCGGCCTCCGCTGCCCAGTTCCGCTGTCGTCTGCCAATAATAATAACAATCGCCAGCTCCTAACCCTGAACAGTCCCGCTAGTGGTCGCTATAATTACTCCTGTTACTCCTCTTGCTGCTACTACTACGCTGCGTACTACTACAACTACTACTACTCCTGCTACCCGACTGCTACGCGTAGTAATAACAGTGCTAAGACCCTCTCGCCCATCCCGGACCCACGGGCACCGTCGTCAAATAAACCTCGTAGCATTAATATTACCACTGCGTGTTTTCGCCGATTTACGTTTGCTTTCCCGTTCTTCGCCGCCCGCATGGCTTCCGGTTCCGCTTCGGGCGCAGACGCTACTGGCTCTACTCCCCTATCCACGGCTACTCGTGCTGCCATTCATATACCCCCGGATGCCCCCCCTTCGTCGGCTCCCACTCTACCATCATCTTCAACTTCTTTAACTTCAGCTCCAGCTTCTCGCCCCCTTATCCAACCCTTTTCTTCTGCTACTGCTACTACTACTACTACTACTACTACTACTACTACTACTACCTCCGTCCCTCCCAATCTCGCTCCCTTCTCCGACTTCTCCGACTTTGCCAGGCAGCTACAGGCGAAGCAACAGCATTCCAACTACCACTCCACCTCCCTGTCCACCTCTCTTAAAAACATGGTTGCCGCTTCGGTAAACCGCACTGCGCTGCATCCCAGTGGTGTTCAGTATGTTTAATTCCTTTTTTGTTTTTACCTTAATTTGAGCTGTATAAAGATGAAAATTTGTACAAGACAGTAACTAACCGATCGATTATGTCTCCAAGGCCTGGTGTAGGACACACAGAACTCGAGGAGGAACTCCACGAAACTGCCCACATCGACTATGAGCGCGTCTCAATTGTAAGAGAAAAAAACCCCCCTTCATCTTCTTATCACTCACCCTATCACTTGTTTCTATATTCTTAACTGATAACAATAGATTGCCAACCCTGCCGTCGCCTCTCTCTACGAAGATGCTCTGGTCTACGAAACCGGCACCGCCATCACCTCCAGCGGTGCCTTGACTGCCTACTCCGGCGCAAAGACCGGCAGATCACCCCTCGACAAGAGAGTTGTAAAAGAACCCTCATCTGAGAAGGATATCTGGTGGGGTCCTGTCAACAAGCCTATGTCGCCAGAGGTAGGCACTCCTTAATTTTAAATTAATTTTTGTTTTTTTTTTCTTTTTCTTTTCTTTTTTGTTTTTTCTTTTAATGGCGGTTTTCGTTTTCGGGTGGTTCGTTTTTGCCCAGGAAAACCGATCCCTCGGCCCTGCATGATAACCCTTGCAACAACCACGGCGTCAACTCCACTCGCCTGGCTGTTGCTTCTGCTCTGTTGTTGTTATGTAATTCCCTTCTTCAGCCGCTTGTCTCTTGGCTAGCACTGTTTCCCCGCACTTTGGCGTTCGCCGTTTTTGCCCTTGTCGATCCGGGTGGGGCGTGGTCACGTGTCTCTATGACGTCAATATTCCCTCTTGTTTTCTTCCTTTTCCGATTGGTCAATTTGAAGCACCACTGCATAAAATTGCTATGAATATCTTCCTGACAGTAATAAAAACATCCAGGTCTGGAGAATTAACAGAGAACGTGCTGTCGATTATCTCAACACCAGAAACCGCATCTATGTCATCGATGGCTATGCCGGCTGGGACGAGCGCTACAGAATCAGCGTCAGAGTCGTCTGCGCCCGTGCCTACCATGCCCTCTTCATGCGCAACATGCTTATCCGGCCCTCGCGCGAGGAGCTCAAGTCCTTCCACCCAGACTACGTCATCTACAACGCCGGTTCTTTCCCCGCAAACAGATGGACTGAGGGCATGACCTCCGCCACTTCCGTAGCCATTAACTTTGCCGAAAAGGAGATGGTCATCCTTGGTACTGAGTATGCCGGCGAGATGAAGAAGGGTGTCTTCACCGTGCTCTTCTACGAGATGCCCGTCAAGCACAACGTGCTCACCCTGCACTCGTCCGCCAACCAGGGCGAGGATGGTGATGTCACTGTTTTCTTCGGCTTGTCTGGAACTGGCAAGACTACCCTATCTGCTGATCCTAAGCGCGCTCTGATTGGTGATGACGAGCACTGCTGGAGTGACCGCGGTGTCTTCAACATTGAGGGAGGAGTACGTTACCCTCTTACACCTGTGATATTGTGATTATCTTATCTAATTTTTTTTTTTTTTTTCCTTTTTCGTTACAGTGCTACGCCAAGTGCATTGGCTTGTCCGCAGAGAAGGAGCCAGATATTTTCAACGCAATCCGCTTCGGATCTGTGCTGGAGAACGTCGTCTTCGACCCCGTAACCCGGGTTGTTGACTATGATGATTCCACCCTCACTGAGAACACCAGATGGTATGTTCGGACTTTATAAAAAAAGGCTTACCGTTTGCTCCTTCAGGTTTCTAACACAGAATTTGTAGTGCTTACCCAATAGAATACATCGAAAACGCCAAAATCCCCTGTATCGCCGAAGAACACCCCAAGAACATCATCCTCCTTACTTGCGACGCCCGCGGTGTTCTCCCACCCATCTCCAAACTGAACACTGAACAAACCATGTTCCACTTCATCTCCGGCTACACCTCCAAAATGGCCGGCACTGAAGACGGGGTCACGGAGCCTCAAGCCACGTTCTCCTCCTGCTTCGCCCAGCCCTTCCTTGCCCTCCACCCCATGCGCTACGCTCGCATGCTCGCCGATAAGATCTCCCAACACAAAGCCAACGCCTGGCTCCTGAACACCGGCTGGGTAGGCGCCGGCGCCACCACTGGCGGCAAGCGCTGCCCGCTAAAATACACCCGCGCCATCCTCGATGCCATCCACAGCGGCGAGCTGGCCAAGGCAGAGTACGAAGTCTATGACGTCTTCAACCTCTACGTGCCCAAGTCCTGCCCAGGCGTGCCGAGCGAGCTCCTCAACCCCAAGAAGAGCTGGACCGCCTCGACCTCCTTCGAGAGTGAAGTGACCAAGCTCGCTGTGCTGTTCAATGAGAACTTCAAGAAGTACTCGGATGAGGCTACCAAGGAGGTTATCGCCGCTGCGCCTGTTGTGCCATCGCCTGCCAAGGCTGCCGTTGAGGTAAATGGCGCCGAGCCCTCGACTACAAGGGAGAATACGGCTTGACTAGAACGGAAACAATCAAGGAGAGTGTTGTTTAAGCAGAAGTTGCGGAAAGTGTTCCAGTAGGAGCAGGATCCAGGACTAAAACCAGAAAAATATAAAAAACAGAAAAGAAAAGTACACTTCGCGGAAGTCCGGTTTTCTTTCTTGTTGTTGCTATGAAAAGGGTTGCACTTCCTAGCTTAAGCTTCCTTTCCTCCTTAAGGAAGAGGGAAATAAATACAAGCCAACTCTACGTGTTCCGTCCGTGTATATCGGGAAAAGAATAGGACAAAAGAGAACGGAGCAAATAAAATAACAACGAATGAAGAATGAAGAATGAAGATGAGGCAGAGGTAGCTGCAAAAAGCCATCCTTCTCCCCCTCAGCCCTACATAGAATGGTGCTGGGGGCAACACACCCTGTATCCCAAATCTTACCCCATCCTTCTTCTTATTGTCTTTTTTTTTCCCTTTTTTTCCCTTTTTTTCCCTTTTTTTCCCTTGGTGCGCATGTTAATGATTCCAAAGTTTTCTTTTGGTTTTTTTTTCATTTTCCTAGTTTCAAACGGTTCCTTTTGTTATTCCACTTTCACCCACCTTTAAACCTTGTTATTTTCTCATTAATATATATATATTTATTTATATATATTTATTTATTTATTATTTATTTTTCTTTCTCAGTTTGATATTTCTTGCATCAGCTCTTTTTCCTTTCTATTCCTTTTCCTTTTTTTCCTTGATTTTCCTTTTGTCTATATATATATATATATATACGTAAATGTTACATACCTGCCCTGCGTATTTATTCATAAAATAAAATAAATGAACAGTCCATTCAACTGATTGAAGTTGTTAGAATTTTGAGATTTTCGTCCTTTGCAAACTAGGACATAAGAAGCCAAAAAAAGTTTTTTATCTTCGCTAAGGAGTAGCTGCAGATTTATTTAGATGATTGGTTTATCCTATTTAATCGAGTATCAATTCTACATCTCAAGGGGTAAATAACTGTGTCTTATCTTCCCTTTACAAAAATGAGTACTAATAGGTAAGCGTAGCCACTGTCAGTGTGGTTCAACTAATCTGGACCTAACTGCTATAAATTCTCCTTTCTCCTCCCGTCTCTCGCAAGATAACTAGAATTTCACCAAAAATGATCCCGCGAGGCAGCCAGGTCTTGGCTAATCCAGTTCGTTTCACCGAGTGCGGATGTTCCCCTCATCACGTATCTCGTCTCCTCAACGCTGTGGTATGTTATGGTGTGTCTTGGGAAAGATGCCCCAGAGCCCTGGACGGCCGGATGGTGCAAGGAGGAAAAAGGAAACGAGCAGCAATTTATTAATAAGTGGTAACTATGTTTTCCGTTTGTTCTCCCTGCCTGCGCCATGTCTACTCAGCTAACCAGGAAACAGAAGTCGGGACTGTGCAGGGGTATTGCATATGTATGTATATGTATGTACTGTATGTACATACAATTGGCTGATGCATCTCGTCCCAGTACACGTAAATATCAAACGCTGCAGGTGGATTGCATGCAATGGGGGAGTGCTCGTTGGCGATTGTGCATACTTGGAGGCCTCAATTTGCATCTGGAGAATGCAAATAACACAACACAACGCAACAGAAAAACACACCAGCCAGGACAATGAAGGGGAAATAAATCTAATAATTTAATTCTCGCGAGTCGCTAGATAGCAGGCTTTTCTAGCCATTATCCACGTTCTAAACTTTCCTCTCTTAATATACCCACAGGAACACTTACTTCTCTTCCCATTCATTCAACTGTCCATCCGGTCACCTTCCATCCGGTCACCTTCCATACGGCCCCCCCCACGATGGATGATCAATCCCTTGCCCTTACAGTGGAATTACTTCGACAAGACGTTGCGGAAGCCTTTGAAAACCGCAAGGGCAAGCAAGTTGAAGGCGCGGCAAACGACGCAGAACTAGCGCTCCAGCTATGGCAGGGGGAGCTTACAGAAGGCCTAGTGTTCCTTAGCGATCGTCAAATGGCAAAGAGCATGGGCAGAGCTGTGGAGCAGGATGAGCGTGCGATCGTTGCCATTGCGCAGGAAGAGGACACGGCTATAAATGATAGACGAATGGCGCTCAACCTGGGGGGAGGAGTCGATGGGCAGCACGTGCCCAGGCTACAGAGGCGAGGCAGGCGGGAGTTGGACGAGAAAACGCTCCAAAGGTTTTCCCAGTTCAATATCGATGGGTCTCGCGACGATGGCGATGATGATAAGGAGGGCTTTCAAGAAGAATCCAAAAGCGAAGCTTTCGAGGTCAAAACTACGTCACGGGCTGATAATTCGCAGCGAGCGGTCGATGGAGCTCAATTTGAAATAGCTCGATTCGATTGTACGTCGTGCATGGAGTCCAAGGTCTTCTTCGACATCATCGAAACCTCCTGCTCCCACTACTATTGTCGGAAATGCGTCAGAACCCTGTTCGAGCAATCCTTTTCCGACGAATCGCTGTTCCCGCCCCGTTGCTGTCGTGAACCCATTTCTCTGTCCCAAGCCTGCGGATTCCTGGGGAAGCAATTGGCAGAGCGTTTTGAGGAGAAATTGGTCGAACACAACGATGCCAACCGCACGTATTGCTCTAATCCCGTTTGCTCGATATACCTGCCTGCGAAAACTTTTGAACTCAACGTTGCGACCTGCAGGGCCTGCCAGCATACTACCTGCGTGCTTTGTAAAAAGACCGCGCATTCTGGGCCGTGTGCCGATGAAAAATCCGAGGACGCTCTTCTAGATTTAATCCAGACAGAGAAATGGCAGCAGTGCTTTAGATGCCGCAGTGTGGTTGAACTCAGGACTGGTTGCTATCATATCACGTATGTTTCTACCCCCCAAGTCTAACCTACACCCCGTAGCGTAGAGCCTCGCAACATCCACCACTAACGTAACATGCATCATCCATCCATCCATCCAGCTGCCGATGCCGTGCGGAGTTCTGCTACCTTTGCGGAGCAGAGTGGAAGAACTGCAAGTGCGAGCAATGGGATGATGACCGGCTCCTAGAACGGGGTCAGCAGATTGCTCTCCGCGAACAGAGACCAGGAGATGGGCCAGTGAGACCTGCGGACGTGAATCGGGCAGTCGCGGTGATTCGGGAACGTCATGACTGCTTCCACCTCGGCCGCTGGCAACGTATAGATGGACGCCATCGGTGTGAGGAATGCATGTTCCAGCTGCCGAATTTCATTCTGCAATGTCAACAATGTCGGCTGCGGGCTTGTGTGCGTTGTAGACACAACCGCCTCTGAGGGAGGGGTCTATGTATGTATGTCCTGTACGTACATTTACTCAGCTGTCCGCCGGTGGAACCGCGGGTGGGCGGGGGAAGAAGGATCATCAGAATCGGGAATTGCGTGTCTCAACCTCAGATGAATCTGGCCCGAACATGGTCAAGGACAAAATTGTTATTCGGTAGTTGTGGGCTCTATGGAACAGAATGTATTATTCCAGTTAAAATATTTAACTACTGGGCCAGTTTTACCTAACGCTAGCAGCACTTCAAGCTGGGGAGATGACGGATAGAACAAAGTCTAGACTCTAATTACGGCAGCCTATAGTGACATTTGGGTCAAATTGGTATTTTTGATGTTTTTTATACTAAGTGTTACCATGTACACACACACACACACATATTCATTCAATTTATAATCAAACAGAGCTTCTCTTTTATTATAGAAAAATCAACTTTTTCATGCAAAAAAACACTGTAATAATGTAATATGACATTATATACATCTCATTAAATATATTTAAATACTCAGCTCTGCTCTTCAGTCTGTATAACTCAGATCAATCTTCAAATCTTCATTCTTTTTTTCATTCTGTTTTTTTCATATATTCTCTACTTATTTATACTTTTCTGGTGGTGATGGTGGTAGGTGGGTGGTAGAAGACCTGCACAATGCTTGCAGACAGACAAACTTTCATATAAATTTCTATTGATGAGTGCCTGTCTATAAGTGGAATTAAGTAATTACAATTTACAGCAGAAAAACATGACAAAAGCCATTTGACTCAAATGTCACTATAGGCTGCCGTACAAATGTTTCATAGCTTCTGTTTTTCCCTCTTTCTTTCTTTCTCGTTGCTTTTCCTTCATGCTTGATTAAATTGAGGTACAGGTACGACGTACATACTATGTAATACTAATGTACAAGTACATGTACAGTACTTCGGAATAAAGCGAGTCAGTCCATTGGGGTATTCCAGCGACTCGTGGCCATATCCAGGAAGCAATTGTGTTGTGAACAGAGCTTCAGAGTGTGGCTGGCCGAGATAGTTACGTTACCTTGCGGAGTAGTTATTTAATCCGACCGACCGCGGAAACGGGGGAAGAGACAGGGAGCGCGGGAAGTAGTTATTTATTAGTTATTTACAGCTCGCAATTTAAAGAATCTCTGCTGCTGCAGGGAAAACGAGCCGATCCCTGGCTATGCTCGTGTTGAAATGATCTGTCTGTCCTCCGTACGTACTCCAATATGCCTCCGCGGGATCCTGATTTGGGCTTTGTATTGTGGTCATCTATTATATTCCAGATCTCTTGGTTGTTGCGGGCCAGCAAGCTGTTCTTTGTTTGATTGTTGTAGCTTGTTTAAATACTCAAACATCAATTCCTTGAAATGAATGCCTTGATGCAAAAACACGACACAGCAAACAATAATAAACAACGGAGGGACGGATACATATTTAAACGCCATCAGAAAAGGCCAAGTGTTGAGATCAGATCTATTGCTTCAATCACTCCCATCCTAACTCTTCTCAATCCAAAAACCAAAAGATGATCCCATCACTGCTGTCTCTTACTGCTCTCACTGCTCCTCTCCTCCACCTCCTCCTCCTCCTCCACCTCCTCCTTGCTCACTTGTCAACCGCCACGCTGCTACTACACCCAATACCACAGCCATCGAAACCCCAATGCTCCCAGTACTACGAACCCCTCTGCTGCCGCAACTCCTTCCCCCAGATGTATCCCAAGAATGCCGTTTGGGCGTATATGTGTAAGTAAGATCTGTGATCCGTGGGACCCTGACGATGCCTTTCCTCTCTCTAACTCTAGTTCTACATCGAATAGGCCGGGATCCTGAGGGCGGCGGATCATGCCTCCCAACGATTGAGGAACCGCTGTGCTGTCCGCCAGGTGTAAGTTCTCAAATCTGGAAGTGGAAAAGTTCCCATCATTTTCCCCATCCTTCTCCTCTGTAACCACTAGACCATCCCCTGGCGAAGGAGGGAAACAGGGGGGGGGGGGGGGCGGATACGCCGCGAATGCGAATGAAAAAACACATGTGTCTGACGGATTCTTGCCTCGCGACCACATTTACAGCGCCTCGACTACTGCATCAAATTCGGGAGCCCTGCGTTACATGTATAGTAACTTACCCCGTGCCGGAGGTTTTCCCTTGTTCTTTCTTTCTTTCTTTCTTTCTTTTTTCTCTTTTTTTTCTTTTTTTTTCTTTTTTTTCTTTTCTTTTCTTTCTTTTCTTTTCTTTTCTCCTTTTTTTTTTTCGTCCTCTGCTCTCTTTTAGTTTCTATTCCGGGGGTGCACCTGGAAAAGAAGAAAGAGAACATTAGGGGGGGGGGGGAGACCACACCACATCATTACGCACTCCAAAGAACAACAAAAGGCTTCCGATGAAATGGGGTATGCGGTTGATCTCTCTCTCTCTCTCTCTCCCTCCCTCTCTCACGCACACACACCACCACCAAGCATACGTTACGATCCACCACCGTACAGACAGGACAGGACAGGAGAGGGCGGGAGGGAGGGAGAAAACATAAACAACCCAATTCCCAATGTTCTGTCTAATAGGACATATTCCATATTCCGACGAAGAAGTCATAGAAGAAGCGCGTACAGCCCCATCTCCCCACATCAATGCTGGGGTCTGGCAGGCTAAAAGAAATCCAGGGCTGTCGATGGCCCCACAGGAGACGGTGTGCTCGCGGAGTTTTGGAGGCTTTTGCAACACCGCGACATTTCTCGACGCCAGATATCCAACAATGAACCTTGATGATGATGGGATGCTGAGTGCTGAGTTGGTGGGATGGTGGGATGGTGGCAGCGGCAGTCGCAGGCAAGGAACATCTGTCTGATATCTTGCTGCACAGGCATGCTATGCATGCGTTCGGAACACTGTAGGCCAGCCATGTCAATTAATACCGGACTAAGGTCCATTGAACCTTCACGGGAAATATGCGTGGCAGATATTGGTCCGTCTCAGGGGCTGATCAAAGGGTCTGAGGGAAGCATGCTCATTGTGTCTGGGACGAGATCAAAGGAGCTGGGGTAGGGAGGATGTTTTTGTTGAGATACCAACAGTTGAAGTGAAAGCAAAGAGTGTTTATTGTGAATAGGTTTTCCCCTCTTTTCTTAAATAAAAAGGAAAAAGAGTCAAACAGAGTTTGTGTGATCACAGTGTAGTTATGAGATCAATGCCATCGGCATCACCACCCCCAACCAGTCTTAGATAACTATTTATTCAGAACATCAACAGGAAATGACATGTGAGTGTGTTTCTTAACTATTCATGTCAACTAAGATAACCAGAGAGAGATAAAGGGGAGAATTAGAGAAAAGAGAAAAAGAAAAAGAGCACGCCTTAAGTTTTGTAGTTAGTGGAACAAGAAAAGAAGAACCCCAAGCTCTCCAACAAGTTGGTTCTCATCCATATCCCAACCAATTAATTGCCAATTGGCAATTGGCAAAGGGATTCTGCGGGTGCTCTGGCCTCTCTCTGGCCGGGGTCAGGGCCTGGAACATAACATCCAAAGCGGTAGCACGGGAAGAGACGAAATTCCCCTTAACTTGTTTCCCAACGGAAAGGTTGATGCAAAAAGAAAAAGGAAAAAAAGAAAAGAAAAAAAGAAAAAAAGAAAAAGAAAAAAAGAAAAGAAAAAAGAAAAAAACAACAGAAAATGATGATAATACAAGCTCGGCCCCGACTCGGACGAAAAGGATCGGGAATATCACGGGGATTGTTCGGGTGGGGGGGGTGGTGATGGGATCAGGGAGTGCCCAAGCTAGGCGCGGGAAGCTGGACTCCACCCCCACCTCTCCTTTCCTCAGGGAGGAGGAGGAGGGGGGAGGAGGGGGGAGGAGGGGAGGAATGGTTTGGTTTGGTTTGGTTTGCTATCTACTGCGTAGGCATGGGTTGGTTGAATACGGTGCGTAGCGGACATGGTTTATCGCCAGGGGAATCTGCAGTGGTGCCTGAAATCTAGTTCTCCTTGAGCAATAATAATAGTTAATATATAAGTTAGTTAGTTACGTTACGTTGCATTTCCCTGCCCTTCAAAGTATTTTTAAGTTTCAAGTAAAGAAAGGAAAGCCAACTGGAGAGGGAGCTATTTAACATTAGTACAATCCATGGGAGCAAAGGAGGATGGGGCCGTTTTGAGCCTGTGGTCTGTAGCTATTGTATATGGGTTGAGCTAGTTAATAATTTGCGGAGCGAAGCGAAGCAAATATATGATGAAAACCCTGGTCATTAAAAGTGGAGAATTTCCTTTTTGGGGTTCTTGGCGCGAATACAGCCCACTGATTGGTGTAGAATTAAGCGAAGCGCAATCCCGTGACATTGCACTATGACTTCTTCTACACGCCCACAACGCGTTCATCTTTCATCTCATCAATTATATCATCAACCATACCATCTACTCTGTACAGATCCTTGAATAATAGATCACGCATCTCATCAACTACCTACTCCGTACAGATTCTTGAATACAGATCCTTGAATAATCGATCACGCATCTCATCAACTACCTACTCTGTACAGATTCTTGAATAGATAATGCATCTGATCAACCACCTCTCATAGATTCTCAAGAATGGATAATGTGTCAAAAGCCTGCGTTCGCTGCTTGCAAAACCAGTCTCTTGACCAATTCATTTCTTTACAGCATTCTACTACTTCTACAGCTGTCTGTCTTCAATGCCACACTCAGAGAACTCAGGTATTGTAATCTTCTCTTATTACATCTTTTCTATCACTGATTATCTCTTTACACTGTGTAGAACTGTAAACAGATACATGCAGTGAAATCAGATTTTTCTACAGTCACAGATTCTGTGATAAATGAGCCTGAACTTCTCTCATCATCTCAGACATGCTAACACTTCATACAATTAACAGCAGTCTCTCAAGCCTGTGAACAGTCTATTGAAACAGACATGTTATCTGAGATTAAGTTTTATCACTGTGAGATTCATAGTTCTGATATGTCTTCATTGACAGCAGTCTGTAAAAAGAAAACTGTCATTCAAAGAGCTCACTGTGTTATCAGGTATTATAGAGAACATCTCTTATTAACTTCATTCTTAACTCAATTGAGAAAATGACTGCAGCTGCTATCTTTGATAATTAATTTATCTCTCAGTTCTGCAGATCTCTCTTCAGCCTTTCATCAATTATCTGTGTCACTCTTCAACTCATTTTCAAGTCAATCTCATTTCACTTTTACAGACATGCTTTCACTGCAGACATCTTTTACATTGTTTTTCTTACTCTTAACTTCTTAAAGCTCTGTTTCTCAGAGCTCTGCAGATCTGTTCATTAATTAACTTAATAGAAGAGTTAACAGTCTCTTGACATTTCAGCACTCTATATGACTCAAAAGCTTAATTGATACA